ATTTTCTATCAAATCCAATTCAAATTGAAAAAATATAATCAATCTGAATATATCTAATGAAAAACAACACTACAAAGAATCAAAACCCTATAAATTTAATACATGATTTGTAAAATATTGACTGGATTTGATCGCATGGGGAAAAAAAAAACTAAGTTTTTACCTGTTTTTCGTGCATCGGTGCTTTCTAACTCAAAATTGATATGTATTCCTCCAAGATAATCACAAATTATGAAAAAAAAATTATGACCAACACTCTTACAATCACTCAGCCTGAAATTTTACAAAAAATGAAACTTTATTTCGATTGAAATCGTAAAAATGGCAGAAACAAAAAAACAAAAAACCGTCCACTATTTTGTTAACAGACATCACTCTTATTTTCTATAAAGATCAACTCAAATTAAATAAATATAATCAAATTGAATATATCTAATGATAAACAACACTACAAAGAATCAAAACCCTATAAATTTAATACATGATTTGTAAAATATTGACTGGATTTAATCGAATGGGGAAAAAAAAAAAACTCTTAGTTTTTACTTATTCTTCGTGCATCTGTACCTTCTAACTCAAAATTGATATGTATTCCTCCAAGAAAATCACATATTATGAACACAAAATTCTGACCAACACTTTTACAATCACTTAGAGTGAAATTTTATAAAAAATGAAGCTTTATTTCGATTGAAATCGTGAAAATAGCGGAAACAAAAAACAAAAAACACTCTACTGTTTTGTTAACAGACATCACTCTTATTTTCTATAAAATCCAATACAAATTGAATAAATATAATCAAATTGAATATATCTAATTGTAAACAATACTACAAAGAATCAAAACCCAATAAATTTAATACATGATTTGTAAATTATTGACTGGATTTGATCGCATGGGGGAAAAAAAAAAGACAGAGTTTTTATCTTTTTTTCGTGCATCCATGCCTTCTAACTCAAAATTGATATGTATTCCTCCAAGATAATCACAAATTATGAACAAAAAATTCTGACCAACACTCTTACAATCACTCAGCTTGAAATTTTACAAAAAATGAGGCCTTACTTTGATTGAAATCGTAAAAATGGCGGAACAAAAAAACAAAAAACAGTCCACTGTTTTGTTAACAGACATCACTCTTATTTTCTATAAAATCCAACTCAAATGGAATAAATATAATCAAATTGAATATATCTAATGATAAACAACACTACAAAGAATCAAAACCCAATAAATTTAGTACATGATTTGTAAAATGTTGACTGGATTTGATCGCATGGGGAAAAAAAAAAAAAACTGAGTTTTTACCTATTCTTCGTGCATCAGTGCCTTCTAACTCAAAATTGATATGTATTCTTCCAAGATAATCACAAATTATGAACACAAAATTCTGACCAACACTCTTACAATCACTCGGCCTGAAATTTTACACAAAATGAAGCTTTATTTCGATTGAAACAGTGAACATGGCGGAAAACAAAAACAAAAAAAGTCCACTGTTTACTTAACAGACATCGCTCTTATTTTCTATAAAATCCAACTCAAATTGAATAAATATAATCAAATTGAATATATCTAATGATAAACAACACCACAAAGAATCAAAACCCTATAAATTTAATACATGATTTGTAAACTATTGACTAGATTTGATGGCATGGGGAAAAAAAAACATGAGTTTTTACCTGTTTTTTGTGCATCCGTGCCTTCAAAAGCAAAATTAATATGTATTTATCAAAGAAAATAACAAATTATGAACACAAAAGTCTGACCAACAATCTTACAATCATTCAGCCTGAAATTTTGCAAAAAATGAATCTTTATTTCAATTGAAATCGTGAAAATGGCGGGAAAAAAAAAAACTGTCTATTGTTTTATTAACAGACATCACTCTTATTTTCTATAAAATCCAACTCAAATTGAATATATCTAATGATTAATAACACTACAAAAAATCAAAACCCTTTAAATTTAATACATGATTTGTAAAATATTGACTGGATTTAATCGCATGGGGAAAAAAAAAAAAAAACTGAGTTTTACCTTTTCCTCGTGCATCAGTGCCTTCTAACTCAAAATTGATATGTATTCCTCCAAGATAATCGCAAATTATGAACACAAAATTCTGACCAACACTCTTACAATCACTCAGCTTGAAATTTTACAAAAAATGAGGCTTTATCTCTAGTAAAATCGTGAAAATGGCAGAAAAACAAAAAAACAAAAAACAGTCCACTATTTTGTTAACGGACATCACTCTTATTTTCTATAAAATCCAACTCAAATTGAATAAATATAATCAAATTGAATATATCTAATGATAAACAACACTACAAAGAATCAAAACCCTATAAATTAATGCATGATTTACAAAATATTGACTGGATTTGAGCGCATGGGGAAAAAAAAACTGAGTTTTTACCTGTTCTTAGTGCATCTGTGCCTTCTAACTCAAAATTGATATGTATTCCTCCAAGATAATCACAAATTATGAACACAAAATTCTGAGCAACACTCTTACAATCACTCAGCTTGAAATTTTACAAAAAATGAGGCTTTATTTCAAGTGAAATCGTAAAAATGGCAGAAAAAAAAAAAAACAAAAAACAGTCTACTATTTTGTTAACGGACATCACTCTTATTTTCTATAAAATCCTACTCAAATTGAATAAATATAATCAAATTGAATATATCTAATGATAAACAACACTACAAAGAATCAAAACCCTATAAATTAAATACATGACTTGTAAAATATTGACTGGATTTGATCGCATAGGGAACAAAAAAAAAAAAACGAGTTTTTACTTGTTTTAGGTGCATCCGTGCCTTCTAACTCAAAATTGATATGTATTCCTCCAAGATAATCACAAATTATGAACACAAAATTCTGACCAACACTCTTACAATCACTCAGCCTGAAATTTTACAAAAAATGAAGCTTTATTTCGATTAAAATCGTGAAAATGGTGGAAACCCTAAAACTCACTCTCGAACCAAATTTGTTGATAAAAAACGGTGGTTTTTAATTCCTCTTATTGAGTGAAAATGATTCGAAATTTGAATTAAAGCATGTAATATTCGTTCATACGCCTGAAAACATTGAAAATCGATAAAAAAAAACAAAAAAAATCAAAATCTCGTGAAGAATACTGTTCAACCTGTGTTCTTTCGGGTTAATCGAGATTCTACTATTGGGTCTCGGACTGGTTTTGAGATGAACTACCTATTTGCATTCATCTTTTGAGATGCCTATTGTAGAAACGTGGTCCCGCCGGCATTAAACAACAGGTCATTGAAAAATGTACGGTCGTCAACTTAGATACGTTTATAATGTTGTTCGTAAAAAGGCGGGAAGTTTTTACGGCACGGTAGAAGGTGCCACCGTAAGCCTCTGGAGGACCCCACGGACCACAAGACGGTGTATTCTTGCCGGTCGTCGGTGGCCGCGTGCTCTCACAAGTAGCTCCACGTGGCAATCTACGACTGGTTGGAGCATGGTGCCCTTGTCGTTGCTTCTGTCGTCGCTGTAGCGAAAACCAGTCTTAAAGTTAATTAATAACCGAAAAGTAGGAAAAGCATGATCCCACGAGATCGTACTGTACACTTAGATGAAAGAGCTGCTTAACCATTTTTTCTCAATTAAAATTTTGGATTCGACCAATGAATCACATTTTAAAAAAACAAAAAAAAGATTTTGGTTTTTTTCACACTTATATTTGACCATAAAAAAATCAGCGACCTTTGATAGATACATGCAAAGGTTATTTTGAGGAATTTTCTTTTAAAAGTTGGGAGGTGGATTCGGAAAATAGTGTACAGTAAAGATTATATGTTCCACCGCGGCGAATGGAATCTTTTGACGAAAAGGAAGAACTGACGTCGATAGACGAGCGAGAAAATATAAAACAAAAAAAGGGAAACATGTATAGTATGTTCCTGCTGGATAACACTGCACAACAACTCCCTGGGACAAAATAGCTCTTTAGGAGGAATTTCTTTTTTTTTTAATAACAGATTTTAAGATCCATGTAAGTATTACTAGATTACTCTTTTCATAGGAAAGTTTTGGATTTTGAACTCCTGTATCTCTAAATATTTTCCTCTAAAAATTAGATTAAAACATCTTTTCTTGAGGCACAAAGAGAGGGCAAGTCTTTTTTTTTTTTTCCTTTGAGGTGGGTCAGTGGGTGCTAGGTATTACATCGGATCTAAATAATACCATAAGATATTCTACTACCATAATATTAGAATTTTTCCTGAGAGAATAATCATGTAGCAGTTCTTAAGTTGTTTTCAAATTTTCAGATTGAAAAAAATCTCCCCAAGTAAATCTTCTAACCAAGGGAGTAAAAGTATACTTTGCTGCGGAGGGAGCATAGTACATGAACTCATAAATAATATTTGCATTATGAGTTTTGTCTGAAAGAGTGTATAGATAGTACACTCCCGCAGGAGTACAAAATCCCTTGGAAAAAAAGAGTGGAGAGAGAGGGAGGGGGAAGAATGTTGGGGCAAATTGGGTTTCAAATGTTTCTCTCTCCTCTGCAACCTCAGATTCCGAAGAAAGAGGAGAGTGTGTATCTCTTTTTGACAACCCGGAAACAGTCCTCCAAATCCAGTTCCCCCTTCTCTCTAACGCAAACCGAGGGGGAGAGAGAAAGTGCATATCCCAAATCCAGGTACATTTTGTAGAGAGAGAGAGAGGGAAAGCGTGTCTTATTTCCAAATCCAGTTGAATCTCTGCGACCTTATCTCTTACTCTCTGAAACCCAAGATGAGAGAGACATCTCTTAACTCCAGATCTCAGGTCCACTAGTTCAGTAGAGAGAGAGAGTGAGCAATCTAAGAGATAGAAGGAGCTCATCTGGAACCCTAATTTTAGAGAGAGAAAGAGGACCTTCCACTTTCTCTCTCTAGACCTAGTTGGGTCTGGTGACACACTCCCATTCTCCATTCTCTCCTTCTCTCTCTCTCCCACAATCCAAACCCCCCCAAACTGTCGAGCACCCTCCTCCTCCTCCTCCTCCTCCTCCTCCACCTCTCTGCCTCCTCTTCCTCTCTCTCTCTTCACAATGTTAACATAACCCACCTCCTCTCCTCCCACCCCTCCCTCTCCACCTTCTCGAATCTCCTCTCGACCACCGGCCTCGCCTCGGACCTCTCCCACCGCTCCTCTCTCACTCTCCTTGCCATCCCGAACCCCGTTCTTGATCCCCTTCTTCCCCATTTCACTCCATCCCAATTCTCCGATATCCTCCGCTTCCATGTCCTCCTCCGCTATCTTGACCCCTCCCTCCTCCGCCAGATCCCCCCCAGCGGCGTCCTTGTCACCACCCTCTTCCAAACCACTGGCCGTGCCGAAGATGACAGGGGTGCCCTCAACCTCACCCGTCGCCCTGACGGATTGATTTCCGCCGCCCCTTCTAGGAGCCGCTACCTCAATACTACGACGCTAGCCAATTTTGTGACCTCTGTTCCTTACGTGATTAGTGTATTCTCTGTTTCGACTCTTCTAGTTCTGGAGTCTCCCGAGCTTACAACATCGGAGACCCATCCTCCGCCGGAGGCTTTGATAAATATAACGAAGGTTTTGGCCGACTCAGGCGGGTTTGAGGTGGTGGCCGCCATGATAGCAGCTTCAGGAGTGGCGGCAGAGTTTGAATCCGATGAGCAGGGTGCAGGGATCACTGTCTTTGCCCCGACCGACGAGGCGTTTTCCGCCCTTCCCCCTCCCGAAAAGCTCCAAGATTTATCAGCTGATAAAAAAGCAGTGGTGCTTAAGTACCATGTTCTCCATTGCTACTACCCTTTGGGATCTCTGGAGTCAATTGTGAACCCAGTTCAGCCAACTCTGGCAACGGAGCAAAAGGGGGCCGGACAATTCACGCTGAACATCACGCGCGCGAACAACACGGTGGCCATCGACACCGGTTTGGTGCAGGCCTCCATAACGAGAACGGTGTTCGATCAGAATCCGGTGGCTGTATTCGGGATCTCACATGTGCTGCTGCCAAGAGAAGTGTTTTCCGGAGTGTATTCTTCGACAGGGGGTTCGCCAGAGTACGCGCCACCACCGGAGTTGCCTCTAGAGGCTCCGGAAACAGAGGCACAGCCGACCAGGTTCTCGGCGGCCCCCGGGAGAGACGTGGGCGCTTCCATTGGCCGGAGGATTGGGGTGTGGAGGGGATTTGTGATTATCGGATGGGTTTTTGCATTTTTGTAGGGGTTTTTGCAGGTGAGAGGGTTTTTTTTTTTTTCTTTTTCTGTAATTTAATTTTGATGCTGCCAAGGCAGCACATTGATGGATTCTTGGAAGAGAGAGAGAAGGAATAAAGGGGGAGGGGGTAGAGGCGCCATTGCCACTGTAAAGGGTGGTCTATTTTTTATGATTCTGTCTTTTACTTTTGCTATCAATCATGATGTAACAAAATTATTTTTTGTTCTTTTTCCGTTTTATTTTATCTGAAAATATTATAAATTAATTATCACTGGTTAGAAATCGATCGATCACTTGTAACCTCATTGTATTAAAAGTAAATGTTCCGTTTAAACTTCGGACCGAAAATTGCTCGAGTCAAAATGAGTTAAATTGGAATCAGACCCTCTAATTCCAGATCCAATTCTGATTTTCGGAACACTCATTAAAATGTTATACGCTTGTGGATCGGCTTTTTTGGATCCACATTTTATTGGTCCGTGAAGTATATGTTGATTAGAAATCTTTTGGTGATTGTATAGAATGAAACCATTTATGTTATTAGATGTTAAATTAGATGGGTAGGGATGTATCATAAAGTTGGAAAAAATTGTGTTGTAGACTTTTTAAGTATATGGACGAGTGCGATGGAGACCTTGTAGTCTCTTTGCATTCTTTTATAGGCTTTTCCATATCACCTATATTTTGTGTTTTTGTTTGTTGTGCAGTTCTTCCTAACTTTTGTTGTTCCATTAATGCTAAAGCTATTGAAATGACAAAACTCAAGGTATCAACTTAAAAGGAAGTGCTCCCAATTATTGAGTAAATAAGATGTGTATGGCAACCATGAAAGCACGAAAGCAGAAAACATTGGTGCAATTAAAGTTATGTTTTTATTAAAGGAAAAAGTAGTCGTGCATATTGTGGGCCAATATTCAAAAAATGGGATGCTTACCCTTCTTAACCAATATGGGTGGGTTGCAATGGTGTTTTCCTTTTGTGAATGTTAACCTAGGACAGGTGAGTTTGGAACTCTCTCTGTCACGTTGTGGCTCCGCATACCTTGAGCACCGTGTCAAGAGCCCGATCACGATCCCGGTGGGCAATGTGAGCTTGACTCTTGGTATTGATGGTGTCAAGTAGAACCGTCAATGGGAGGGCCGTGTACTGTGTGGCTCAGTCCCAATCCGGTAGGACCGTTGCTAAAAATATAAAGCTTGGGTCATAAATTGTAGCCCGAAGGCTAGGCAACAGCCAATGCCGGTTCGGTTTGGCCTGGCCCGACTCTCTTTTTTTCTTTGAATTTTTTTCATTTATTTGGTCTTGGCCCAACCCTAATAGGATTAGGGCCGGGCTGTGCCACGCGAAGGCTAGCCCGACCTTTTGCCACCCTTAGTGCCATGGTTCGAAGGTTTTGACTAACAAAAAAAAAAAGGTCATGACAAGATTTGCGAAATAGGAATGAAGTTTAGATACAAGGTGTTGTATTTTGCTCCATGCGAGCATAATGTATACTTCCTCCCTTGGGCAAACGAACCACTAAAATATGATTTTGTTAATACGAAATTATGGGATGTACATTAGAATTAGTGTGTGGGTGTGTGTGTTAATTTGGTATATGATAAAACGTATGCTTGATAACTATTATGGAACCCTTATGAAGCTCAAAAAGACAGACATTTGTGATAAGAATGAATATACGGCGGTTTTAGATTGGAAGCCATTTGAGACCACTCTATATGTGATATTGATGAGAGTTTGGGTCCCGGTGCACAACCCACTGAGGTCTGGAAGTGGAGAAAAAGTATTAGGACGCTGATTTTGTATTGAATTGAATACTTTCCATTTAGTGAACTTTTGATATACTTGGTGTCAGTTAACGGTTTGTTAAAAAAAAAAACACTAATGTATCTGGTGTAAATTGAATAAAATTGTAATTCAATAATGCATAATGTTGGATAGGAGGTGGTTTTAAGTATCTGGCATAGGCTTCTTCGAACAATATTCTGGAATGTTTTGTTGTGATTCTAGAATGTGAGCCGAAAAGAAAATGCCTGACAACACTTATTCTGAAGCTATCTGTCACCATTTTATTTGCCGGACAGTACTCCGGAATGCCACTCTAAGATTCCAGAATGTGGTCATGTGACAACAAATCCCGCTACAATCGCAGGGCGACCTATCTAGAATCACAAAGCGATATTCTAAAATGCTGTCCAGTAAAGCCAATGCAGGACAACAGTTGTTCTTAAACTCACTGTCCGGCAGTTTCTTTGCTGGACAATACTCTAGAATGTTGCTATGCGATTCCATAATGTGGCCTTGCGATAACAAAATTCTGTTTGGAAAATCCGATGCAGGAGATCGGTTGTTTTTAGCTTTATGTCTGGAATTAACATTTCCAGACAGTATTTTGGGATTCCAAGCTGCAATTCCAGAATGATTTTTGGAATAGAACCTCAAAGTTCTCAAAAATGGCCGCAACAACTATAACAAATCAAGAATAACAGGTCTGTTAGATTCTACTGAAAATATATCAATGTACTCAAAGTCTCTCTTTTCAAATGTACACGAATAACTCCTTGGGAGAACAAAATCCCATGTCAAATTACCCGAAACAAAGCGACGACATACTAGAAAAGTATATAAATTTACGCTTTTGATCTCAGACCACAAGGATTGATCTCAAATCAAGGATCACCATCCAGATACATAGGTATTCTTTTACACCAGATACATCAATTTAAACCGATACTCAGATATATCAAAAGTATTCCAATTTTTAAGCTTTTGATATTTTGATATCAATAACGCATAACCACCCACAAGGATTGATCTCAAAAAGAAAGTAAGCAACAAAACATCAACAAAGCAAATAAGCCACAACGATTGATCTCAAATCAAGCAACACCATCCATATGCATAAGTATTTTTTAGACCAGACACATCAATTTTACATATATACACAATGAGACTGAAGACATTTAGGGATATCACTAGTGGGCCCACTTTTATAATGAAGGCCGGACAAATGATCTAGAAGCTCTTGCTTTGCTGGATGTCAATGGCAATATACTAGTGATTGGTTCTCTTCAGCTCCTCTTGTTATGGCCTACATCACCACAATGTGTGTAGTAGTAATCCCTAGTGTTTGTGGTTTCTGTCCGCCTGCTTCTTCGGCCTATCTGGTAGGGGTGGCAATGGGTTGGGTCTGATTGGACCCAGACCCTAACCCGCATAGTATTTGGGTCCAAGTTTTGGACCCAGACCCAACCTTTCGGGTCCAAAATTTAAACCCATATCCAGATCCGAGCTAAGTCTACCCTGTTGGGTTTATGTATCATTTAAAGGCCTTATGAGAAGCTGTGTAAAACATATTTAATAAATGAAACATACATTTAGTGGGAGTGTGGTCCTTTTGTGGACCATACTAGGTAAATGTTATTTGCTGATACTTTAGGCTCGATGAGCTAGGCCAGCCGAGGTTTAGAAAAAACTAAGATACTTGGGAATAAGGATCTAACCGAGAAGGGTTTAGTAAGTTAGCGCTTGATGAGATCGGTGTATGTTTGGATGAGAGCCGAGGGACCGTGTGGCCCTTGCATGTGATAAATAGTCTTTAGAGATAAGGCTAAAACATCATCGTTATATCATCATACGACATATATATAAATAGTTATTTTGAGATTCGCCAATGAGAGTGAAGCATGTACATGTGTGAAAGATTACTCTTATAAACCATAGAGTCATGTTTGCATTATGGCCTGAAAGACCATGATTTTTGTCTCTAGGGAGAACATGAAATCCATAAACTGGGATTGCGTCCCCTGGTCTATTGGCTGACTTTGGTAGTCCAATCATGAACCCATGCAGTGGACTGTGGGTCATGGGAACTGCTTGGCTAGTTTGAGAAAGCTAGGCGGGTCGTGATTCACAGTTGAAGGTGAAGTGCTCCCATGTATTGATATTTTCCTAGATCTATCGGATCCGATTCCTATCAAAATTAATTAATTTTATGCTATGTGATTTTTATAATATTTATTTGAATTTTTGTAAATCTTATGATATTTTATTTTTGTCATTTGGATTTATAAATTAAGAGAAATTAATTTTTCAATGTTTTAAATAAAATATAATATTTAAAAATTCTAAATATGAAATAAAATATTTTCTAAAATATTTGGGACCTCCATAACATATGGACCCAAAATTTAAAAAGATGTGAATTAGGTAGAACCCACATTGGCCACCAAAAGGGTGGCACGCCCCCACCCATTCACATATTCGTTTTGGGAAGAATGTTTATCCTCTTGGTTGGCTTGTTTTTTAGGTATAGCCAGCTTTTGTGATAATGTTGAATATTTAAAATATATACTAATTCTTTGAATCAAGATTGATTATCAAATAATTGAGGATTGGATGGCAATAGATTTAGGAAAGGGGAATATGACTCTAGCTCATCTCTTTGAATCTTGATAGTAGATCAAAGAGATAGATGACTCAAATCTCTTACCCCACAAATCTCGACGGTTGAGACTTGACCCTACAAATTGAAGCAAAATCTATGAAATAAAAAATCTATAAAAGGAGGTATTACCTTCATAAAATTACATACGTATTTTCTCATCTCTTTATCTACCCAAATTTAATTCTCTCTGGATTACCAAAGGTGAGGCACGCCTCAAGTTTTATCATATCTCTCCAAGTTGTTTTGGGTATTACGTACTACCTCTTTTCTTTTGGGTAGTTCTCTTTTCTTTTGAGTAGTTTTCTTTGGGTGGCATGCCTAAGCCTAGGAGGTGTTTTTATTTATGGGTGGCAAAGGGGTGGAACCTTTTGCTAATAGATCTCTCACTCTCTCTTGATATCCATCTCTCATCTCTTTAAAATCAAGCTAAGGGGCTTGATCAAGATTAAGTCATTGTGTGGATTTTTGTTATAGTAAGAAAATCAACATACCGATCATAGATCCCGAGTGAAGGAGGAGATTCGGCGTGGCGTGTACTAAGAATTATATTTGAAGAGGTAGCAATTGAGAACTGATTTTTTTTTTTTTCAAGAGTGGTTTGATTGTAATTGGACATTATAAGTGATATTGCCGGCGTAGGAATAAAGAATTTTTTAAAATATATACATCGTGCTTTATCATAAAGTCTTGTCATACTTTTCAGGTCCCGGGTCTAGTCAGGTCCATTGGCCCCTTTTTTGCCTTTTCTTTACCATCATATACCTGTATCCTGAATACCCTCATACACCCACATTCCATATT